TATATTATAGATATGTAAAATGAGCCTTCAAATATCACCACCAGTATTACACAGCCGGTCATTTATTTATTTACACCACCATCAACCGATTATTATTGTTGGCAGATCATACGTTTCACAATACATGCATACAGTAATAGACTGCGCATAAGATAGGGCCTTAATAGAAGTCATATTTGTATTAAATATATCAATCCTGTTTTGTACATTTTGTACGTTGTTCAGACACTTACACATGTATTATAAGAGAGAATGCAGAAGTACTTTGATCCTGGGATTTGGAAAATAAAACGTTAGAAAGCTTCTGGTCAGACATCTGGGTAGTGGACATTCCACCTGTAATTTGACACTTTATCCCTCAATTACCCAAATCACATAAATCCGACGGTATTCGGACTGGGTACACCATTAATTATGATATCCTGACCAGGTCACACCTTGATCCTTATTATCTTTAAAATATACTCATATTACTCCAAGGTAAAAATTATTTATAATACCATTGTGAGCTTCAAAATATACATATGTTACCGGTAATCTGTATAATTCAGATATTCTACACAATACCTACACATTGTATAGAATACCGGGGTTGCCCAGGCAATGTATGAAATATTATGAATATTATTATCCATTACATACTTTACCTAGATAACGAATACGATTCCTAGGGATTGTATAGAGTACCCGCTGTTCCACCACATGTGTAAAATAAATAGATCTTGGTCTAAATTTATTTATGTTAACCGGCATACTTATAAAATGACGGACAAATGAAACAAGTTATATTATTTAAAATCAACTTTATTGTAATTAGCAATCAGAGTGCTCGTTAAAAATAACCTTTATGAAAAGGGTACAAGAAAGCATCTTTGTGATACTACAGTCAAATCACAGTAAAATTCAAAGTGAAACTAAAAATTATTCTGTAAGTAACATAATGTTCCGTTCCTTGCTCTAGTCTTTTACATACATTACCGGCTGCGCATTCGGTATTGTATAGAATACCTAGGCAAAGTATAAAACAAATAATATTTCATTCATTACCTACACACACACACACACACACACACACACACACACACACACACACACATATATATATATATAGGTAGAAAATAAAGCTTCCGCCTTTTGTTGGGTACTTCGACAAAATTCAAGCAATGAGGACTCTTTATACTTTATTAATCTCTAGCTTTCAATAGACTTTGCCATCTTCATCAGAAGCTGCAATAACATTGGGAAGAAATAGCAATTGTGCTGAATGAATGATTCTGTTCACGGACGAAGCTAATTTTTCTCGAAATGCCATTCAGAATTTCCACAGTTATCATTTGTGGGCAGAAGAAAATACCTATGCCGTAACCGAAACCCATTTCCAACACCAATTTTCGGTTAACGTATGGGCAGGAATTATTGGCGACCACTTTATTGGCCCTTTCTTTTTGCCGGGACGACTTGACAGACAGACTTACCTCGATTTTCTTCAACAACAGTTGCCTTTGCTACTTGATGATGTTCCGTTAGTAATAAGAAACAATATGTGGTACATGCATGATGGTGCACCAGCGCATTTCAGTGTGGCCCCAAGAATGGCCACCAAGGTCCCCAGACCTCAACAGTTTCTTTTTGTGGGGCTATCTTAAGACACTAGTGTACACAAGTCCCATTAACACTGTAGAGGAATTAAGAGAAAGAATAGTTGCAGCTTGTGATAGAACAAAAATCACAACGAGTGCGCAATCCCATAAGAAGGAAGGTGGAAGCATGCATACTAAGTGAAGGGGGCCATTTTCAACAATTTTTGTAATCATTTCGTTGGTTTTAATGTTATATTTATGTTGTCAGTTGTTGTTCATTACCCCTAATGTGGTTAATTTTTCCAATTAAATTAATAATAATTTTGCAAGTTAGACAATAGAACAGTTTTTATTTTTTTACTCAAAAATTGCGCATCGAAGGAAAATAATTCAAGAGAGATCATTTGTTTCAAATTGAACGGGGAACTCAAAAATAATTTTTATTTGGCAAAAAACCATTGGCGTACCATTTTTTTCGTGAAACATATCGAAGTCAATACCCGTACGTACGTCACTGGTAAAGCTAAAAATTATTATTGCATTGAAAAATATGCGACTTTTTTAACTTTCACTACGTACTAAATATCAGTGAAATATCTGAAGCGGTTCTGAAAATATTAATTAATTTCCAGTTTTTTCCTAAAACTTCAACACCCCGAGTTTTTGTAAGGAAACGTTTTTGGACCATAGTTTATAAAGCAAACTAACATTAATTTTTCATGTAGATTCACACCCTTAAATATTTGCATATCAATAAGGAACACCCATACTAGAACCACCACCGTAAGGCCTTAACACCCATGGGTACCGTGGGGCTATAGGAGAATTTATTTGCATATCGTTAAGGAACACCCTGTATATATGAAATTCTTCGCGGTTATTTTTTCTCTCCAATTGGAATGGGAAAAAGGGAATAATCATGTAATTCATTCACCAAGGTACGTAAATGATGAATACAGTGAAAGCTCTCCTTGCGGACAGCTCCTATAAGCGGACATCTCTTTTAACCGGACAAAGTTCCTGGAACCGAATTTCAGCCATCAATTTTCAATGTTAAATGCATTCCGATAAACGGACGCTCTTATAAACGGACGCGGACACTAGATTTTCCTGTATGTGATCAAAAAATCTCCCATAAGCGGACGCGAAACTCTAATACCTGGACGATTTTTTAGTTCCGCTTATTGCAATGCCCATATCTACATACATAAAATTCGGTAATTCCCCGATTTATATTAGGTGATTCCCCATTTACGCATTTCGTTGGGTAGCCTGTATGTAATCTTGTGGCTTGTCTTCAGTTCAGGAAAATTCGTAGTTGATTGAGTTACGTATTTTATTATTGTAACTGTAAAATGGCACCAAAAAAAGGATGCTCTCGTTAAAGGAAAAGATGGAAGTTGTTAACGTATTAGACAGAGAAAGTGTTTCAGTTCGTCATTTGGCAAAGAGGTTTAATATTGGGAAAAAAATAAGGAAGATATCAGGAGTAAATGGCAATCAGGAACTAATATAAATCAAAAGAAGGATTTTTTAAAAAAGGAAGGTTTTGCTATAGACAAAACATGTTTTGAGTGGTTTGTGAAAGCTAGAAGTCAGAACATTCCAATCTCAGGGCCGTTAGTGAAAATGAAAGCTAAAGAAATCGCCACTACTTTGGGCTATAATAATTTCAGTGCGTCCGACGGGTGGCTGCAAAAGTGGCGCAAGAGACATAGTGTGAGTTTCAAATGCATATCTGGCGAAGCTGCTGCAGTAGATCAAGTTGATGTGTCACAATTTTTGGAGAAACTTCCGTCCATGTTGCTTGGCTACAAACCAGAAGATGTGTACAACGCAGATGAGAGTGGACTTTTTTTCGCGCATTGCCCGACAAAACTCTGTCCTTTAAAGGAGAAACATGTGTGGGTGGAAAGTTGTCTAAAGATAGACTAACCATTTTATTCTGTGCAAATATGGCCGGTGAAAAATGCGATTTGATTGTGATCGGGAAAGCGGCTCGTCCCCGTGCTTTAAAAAACGTTGCTATTAAGGATCTACCAGCGACTTGGAAATCCAATAAAAAGGCATGGATGACCCGAGAAATCATGTCTGAGTGGTTAGTCGAATTCGACCGGAAAATGAGAATCCAAAAAAGGCAAGTTCTTTTATTTTTAGACAATGCATGCTCTCATCCTCGTGATATGAAAATGAAAAATGTGAAAATTATATTTTTACCGCCAAACACAACTTCTTTTTGTCAGCCCATGGATCAAGGTGTCATACAGAACTTTAAATTTTATTATCGGCACTTGATTTTAAAACATATTTTAACAAAAATTGACGATGGTCAAAGCTTATCTGAGCTTACAAAGTCTATCAATGTGTTAGAAGCTTTGTATTTTATAAAAACAGCATGGAATAAAGTAAATTCCTCTACAATTAAAAACTGTTTTGGCAAAGCTGGATTCAGAAAAAGTGAATGTAGCTCAGAATTTGCTGAGCTAAATTATTGCGATGCTGAAGACGATCTGCCCTTAGCGACACTTGCTCAGTTACTGCGACATGCCAAACATTTAGGAGTAGCAGATCCCCAGAAAGTAGATGATTTCCTGGCCATAGACAATAACATAACAACAGAAGAAAATGCCATTGGCAACTTTTCGAATTTGGATGTAGAAAGCCCAGGCCAACTTGAATATGGTAGTCCAAACGACTCAGAAGAAGAAGTGGAACTGGTGGACTCACTAAGCGGTTCAAAAACGATAAATTCATATGGGGAAGCTCTAAATCATATTTCTATATTGAAAAAATTTGCTAAAGATGATTTCACTGCATTTCAACATTTGAAAAATTTAGAAAGTTATTACGAAAATTGTCTCCTTCAGCAAAAGATGGTGAAATTTCGTCAGACAAACATTTTAAACTTTTTTCAACAAGCTAAAGAATAATGTTTTTTTTAAATTCTCGTACCATGTATTGAAGCATTTATATTTTTGTATGCGTAATGCGTATATGTACATATATTATATAGATATATATAGCATAAATACATACTTTAAAAATGTGGCGAGTTTCTGTATCATTTTTCTCATGATTATAATACCTCATTTCCTCATGATTATATACCCCGTTATTTATACTCTATACTTACATACTCTCTTTTAAACGGACACCTCCCATAAGCGGACAAAAGTTACGGAACCGTGAGTGTCCGCTTATGGGAGCTTTCACTGTATTTACATGTTGCATTGAAATTGTTCTTTCAAATATCCCCTGCCCCCCCCAAAAAACTAAAGCTCAGATTTTTCTGAGAAAATGGTGACTCTTTGTAGTTTGAAAGTATTTATCCCCTTTCACCTTTAAACATTATATCAAGCCCTTTAATTTATTCACATCTTGTTGCCATCCGGACTGCAACAGGACTGCCTGAAACCAAACACCATGCATGTTCACAATACAAGATCGTATTTCCTAACGAAAGTATCTTTTCTTTTCAGGTTCGACATCGGCATCGTTGACCGGGTGCTTGAGAACAATGCTTCTTCCCGCATATATGCTTGCTTCCGTCTATGCGCTTACGTCTTCCTTCGTATGAGCTTCCGGTGAAGTTGCGACCACCACGTGCTCGTGCCGCATTATTTCGCCCTTACCCGGTCCAGCGCCGCCTAAAATGGCCGCGATGGCGCGAAGAAGAGAACCGGCAGACGCCGACGATATCGCCGCCATCGCAAAGCAGATCTCCGACCAGGCGGAGGCCATCTACCAGAACTGGAAGTCCAGGGGTCTGGGACCGTCCGATCTGCTAAGCTGTCATGCGGCCGGCGATACTGCCAAATTAGGGTGAGTTTGAATCGCTTTTATATCCATTGACTCAATCGCCAATCATACATCGTCTCAGCTAGAAGCCAGTTACCAAAATTGCAAGCTCAGGGGTCTGGGACCGTCCGACGTTTGAGCTACCTTGAACCCAACGACACAAAAGATACACTTCCAGGGGTCGGAGGTCATCAAGCCAGCCAAGAGAAGTTTGCAGCAGGTATACAGTATGAGTACTCTCAATTCCCACCCTGTTTAGTGATCCGACCCTTTGAACTGTGCATCTAAGTCCGATTTGTTGTTGTCATGGTGTCATTTAATTGTGGTCATTTTGGCGATCGTTTCTTCTATTCGTCATTGTCCGTCAGAGCGGTCCGTGGGACCTTCGGTCTTTGTTAAAGTATCGTAGATCAGTAGATCTGTCAGGTCTGGTTGCCCAGATACCAGACGAAGTCAGGGAGAAAGAAAGGAAGAAGAAAGAAAGGAAGGAAGGAGGAAGAGCAAAGAGGCTGAAGTGCGGGTCCGGTTAGAGGGATGCCTTGCTATTGTTAACTGGTATTCGGTTATCCAAAAATTAATTTACTTGCTCGACTGTGTAGTCTACTGACTCACGCAACAGAGGGTTGCTGTGTGATTCCCCTTGACTATAAGGTAACTGCACCTGATGTTTTGATGTAGTCCCTTAGGTAAGGGATGTCGAGGTCTCTGTGATTGGTCTCGTTGGAGACGTACCATGGTGCGTTAGAGATGATTCGCAAGGTTCTAATCTGCAAAACCTGCAGATTACGCATATGCGTTTTGGCAAGAAAACACCATGCTGCACATGCGTAAGTGATTGCTGGTCTGATAACCATCTTGTATAGCCGAACTTTGTTAAACGAACTTGAGGTTCTACATAGTAAAGGGGAGAGTTGCCCAACGGGAATTTAGAATTTAGTTTTTAACGTTTCAGTGTGATTCTGCCAGGTCATCCCCTGTCAAGAGTGACACCGAAATACTTATCAGAATTTCCCCATGTATGGGAGCTCCATTCACTAAAACCTCAGGGGGGGGTCGCTACGTTTTTTAGTACAATAGATGCCACCCATCTGCCCATTCCAATACCTTATCCACCCCACTTTGTAACCTGTCGTAGACCAGATTCCCGGTACGCGACTGGGCCACCAGTGCAGTGTCATCAGCATACAGATAGATTTCACAGTCACTAGGGCAAGGGACATCATGCGTAAAAAGTGAGCAAAGGATTGGCCCTAGAAGCGAACCCTGAGGGACGCCGGCCCTAATTGGCCGGACTGTCGACAAGGAATTATTAATTTTGATCCGAAATTTCCTACCTTCAAGGAAGGACTTCAAAAGTTTTAGGAGCCAAAATGGAAAGCCCTTTGAATGACTTTATAGCGAAGGTCCTTGTACCACGCCTTGTCAAATGCCTTCGAGACTTCCAGGAGCAAGATGCCAGTACTTTCGTTAAGGGTGAAGCCCCTCGTTAGTCGCTCCACAAGCCTAACTGCCTGTAACTCCGTACTATGCTCAGACCGAAATCCAAATTGCACGTCAGGAATCACATGGCGATCTGACGAGAAATTCGCAAGGTGACGTAAAATCACCTTTTCAGCGAGCTTAGACGGAGCAGACAATAGCCTGATGGGATGATAATCTTGGGGAAATATCGAACCCACCTTCTTTGGTATCGTTATAACTTCCGCAGTCCACGCCGATGGAATGTATTGAGTCCTTAGCATGGCTTTGATAATACCCACGAGATAAGTCAAGGACTTCCGTGAAAGCAGATTCAGCGCCTTATTAGTGATTTGATCCTCCCCAGGCGCTTTACGCACCTTGAGGTCATTAATATGACCTTGCAGCTCTGCTGGGGTGCAATGCGGGATCTCGGGAAAAGCCGCTGATGTGCTGTGCAACTCTTCAGCAGAAGAATCTTCCAAAAAAGAATCTTCTGAGAAAGAATCACTAATGGCGGCGCCGGGATCACTGTCGCCGTTAGCCCTAAAATATCTCCTGACGGATCTTACAATTTGTTGCTCCTCGTCGAGATCATTATCAAGATCATAGTTGGGAGAGAACTGTCGTTCCATAGCATCAGCGAAAACCTTGACCTTGTCCTCTGTCCTGAAGATTATGCCCCCAGGACCGTGGAATTGCAATATAAAATACATTTAACTTTTTCAGCACGAGATGTTGTTATCTTCAATTTACAGATTTCAATTTTTTGCAATTGGAAAGACTATTTAATAATGTTTACCGAAAACCTCAATATTCCTACGGTTACTACGGTATGATCTTATTTGCTTTTATGCTGAATTGTCTTAAAACGCCGATAAATATCGTTATGAATTTTTGTTTAGTCGAAATAACAACTAAAAATAAATGTGGGTATCTGGATTTCCGACATTTTAGATCAACTCAGTGGGTATTAGGGTATGGTTGGTGTATCTCATTTGTAATATTTTGATCAGAAAGATGAATAATTCTACATAGAAATGAAAACTATTATGAATCGTTACTAGTGTTACAAAGCTTCACCTCTAATGCCCTAATAAATGTTGTCATAGACCTGAAAGGGACTTAATCCGGGTATCAGAAGTCATCGTCTTCAAGTCAACTTTGTTTTGCTATTACTACTTTCATTATTTTGATCAAGGGGAGGAAAGTTTTTTGACGATAGTTTGTAACTAATTCAAATTCAATTGAAACACGAAAACTTAAAAAAACATTTCAATCTGCTTTCTCTTATTTTGACTGCATAACAAATTGATTTTGATGTGTGAGTATGCTGTTGAAAAGATAATAAGCCACAGAACTCTACGTATAGTATAGAGTCTTCGGAAGGTGATAAGTGTTTTCTGAGGCAATTTGAACTGGCTACTTTTATGTTGTGTTATTATCTAAATGTGAACATGAAAAAATCTTATCATATTAACCGTAGGAACATTGGCCTTCTCGGTAAAAATCAATAAATAGCATCCCAAATTACCCACAACTTCTCTCTGTATAGGACGCTCCATTTCTTCATTGAAATTAAGAGCGATTCCCGGTGAAACCCAATGTCCGCCATCCTGACTAGTATCGAATTCACAAATTCTAACACTAACAAAAAAGTTAAAAGCACAGCTCACCTTCCTGTGTACCCTGTATAGAATTTGGCGCTCTTACCCACTTGATACAATATTTATGTAACAAATGCTCAACATTCAATCGCACAATGACAATTGTAGCAAGTACGCTAAACTTATCTAACCTGTTTGATTTTGGAATAATTGAACATTTTTTTGCATCGTACATCACCCCATCTTGCTTCTAATAAATAATGTAATCATCCTAACGACAGCGCGATAAGATATAAAATAAAAATTGTATGGTCTAACTAGCTACAATCTAAATGCAACAATATAAGTGTAATTTACGATAAATTTCCGACCAAATATAGGCTGGGGAGTTCAGATTCCCAAAAATTATACCAAAGCTTACATTTAGCTGAAATAAAAGGTAGCTGCATATATACCAAGCTAGTTAAATAGAGTATAATTACAATATACAGGGTGGCCCATCCATGTGTGGACGGAATAATACTCATAAACAAATACATTTTGGGAAAATCTATTTATGTGATGTTACACATGACATTTGAGGGCACATTTCTAAAATATTGGCCATTATACAGGGTGTCCCAATTTCGACCTACATATCAAAGATGTGATTTTTCAAATGGAATGCCTCAAATTTTATTGCATATTTGGATAAACCAATTCAAAAGAAGAAAATTGATATAACATACTATGGGGTTTTGATAATTAGCTACTGAGATTTTGTCTAGAAAAACCGCCCACTTCGGCAACCCCTCAGTCCGCCATTTTGAGATTTGGAGAGCTGAATTTTGTACCAAAAAAAACTGACACACATCAGCTTTTATCTTATTTATTACTTTTTCGAATTTTAATTTTTGCTCATACAGGGTGGTCAAAAATGCAAATTGTAGTTGTTCTCAAAAATTTCAAATGCATCACCCTGTATATTTGTGCAAGTTTGGACTAAATTTTTTATAAGCTTTTTGTTGATAGTAGACACATAAGGGTTTTTACGGTTATTTTTTCGGTTATTAGCACGTCTTTTATGGAACGGCTTAATTCAATAAAATATGGCATCAGCATCATCCTTGGAAACAAATAAATTGTTCATCAGGTACAAACTGTTTGTGAGCATTATAATAAAAACGTGTTTGAAAATGAATGTTTCCAAAGAGGAAATGGTGAATACGGTATTCGTTTTGAGCGAGGCCCAAAGAAATGGTTTCATAGCATCTCGCATTTATACCCAACGGTACCCTAATATTTATTTATTTAATTACACCACCAACAGTTTATAAACCAATTACTACTAATATGCGACATCCAAGGCCGGAAACATTTTCCACACTACGAGAACGTATTGAATCAAGTGGAGCAGTGGAATATAGTAAAAAATGTATAAATAATCCAAGTGTCACCAATGAGGCGAATCAGTTGGAGGTTCTATTGAAGTTGCAGGAAAATCCCCATTTAAGTGCACGGCAAATTGGAGCAGAAACTGATATATAGAACTTCTGGCCAAAGGATTATTCACAAGTATAGGTACCATTGAAGGGAGGTTAGTAGACAAATGCTAAATAAAGTGAGTGAAGACACTACATTCCTGGATAAGGTTATTTTTAGCGATGAGGCAACTTTTAACAGCATAGGTATTGTCAACAGGCATAACATACACTATTATGCGTCGGAAAACCCTTACTGGGTTAGCCAAATAGATTTCCAAAATAAATGGAGCTTGAATGTTTGGGGTGGAGTTATTGGCAGACAAGTCATCGGGCCTTTCTTTTTCGACAACAGATTAACAGGTACAGAATTCTTGAATTTTTTGATCGACCATTTGCCTTTGGTTTTGAAGGATGTCAACCTGCAAGCTCGGATGCATATGTACTTCCAACATGATAGCGCACCTGCGCATTATTATAATCGTATGCGTAACTATTT